TGAAGATTTTCACAAGATTTCTTGCAGTTTGCAATGTAATTTCAATTATATTTTCTGTATGTGAAATCTCAACAAAACTTCAGTAATGCAATCGATAGCTACTACTACTACTTTAGAAATCGCGCTGCAGCAAATTGCACATGTTAAGTCATTGATATTCACATTTATTAGATGCAATTTCGGGTGCAATTTCAATTTGAAAATCGCACCGGTGTAACTGGGCACTTACACCCTGGTCACATCAAAGCCGATTTTGAAATCGTGCGACTTACAGTAAAGTCGCACAATTTCAAAATTGGGTGACCTGCCGATGTCTATGCAAATGGCAACAAAAGTAGTGCATGCACTACTTTAGAAATCGGTGCGGCTCCGACCAAGTCGGAACCGCACCAATATGACTGCTCTAATAGCGGACAATAGGGTGTGACTTGGCATACAATTTGCAAGTTGCAGGGCATGCAAATCGCATGCCAAGTCACACCCAATGTGACCAGGGGCTTAAGGTAATTTAAGGATCATAGAACAAGCCCAATGGCGTCAGTTATAGTTTGTAATGAATTTACTTTATCATCCATTGTGTACCCTCTGGTTTAGTGGTTTCTCTCCTGAGAGTCACAGTACCCCCCCCTCCTTCCCATTTGGGGGCAAGTGGGATTCTGGTTGCGTGCTCCCTTTACAATGCTTCTGCTTTGCTTGTTGCCTTTTGGTCTTTTGTAGTCTACTTCTTGCCTGGAGGCTGGACTTGAGGTGGTATGTGCTCGTAGTTTCTTGTGGATCCCCCGGCATTTGATTTATTTTCTTTGGGCCTATGTGATGGTTCTTCCCCTCATTGAGGGAGGACTCCTGTCTCAGGGCTGACAAGACAAGATCCTCACTGAAGCACTCTGCATCCTCTGAGTTAGTGTGGACTTGAGATAGGATGTTCAGGCAGCCTCTATGGATGTAGTGGTTCTTAATTTGAAACCCTGATCTCTTTGGGTCTATGTGGTGGTTCTTCCCCCAGCCATCATAGAAGGGCTCTTTTCTCAGGGCTGTTCTCATGTCAGTAAATTCAGTCTGGTTCCCTGGAGCAGTCAGTGCCTCTTTCTTGGGGGATCCCATTGTAAGTTAGTCCTTTGACTAGGACTCCATTAAAGTTCACTTTTGTGCAGGAATAAACCAACCCAGGAGAGCTGTGTGTACCCTTGGACTGTCAGCAGACAGCTCATGAGGCAGCCTTGATGCAGACAGTGAGTCAGGGCCTCATTTGGTAGCCGATTTGCAGCATGTAGGGAAAGTTCTTAAAAACATTTTTCCTTGCTACTGTTCTTAATCAGGTAATCGTTCTTAGCTCTTAGACTAAGGTTCCTGTTTTTTGCTCCATGGCTCTGGGAACTTTGCTGAATCGGTGCAGGTCAGAGGGCTTGTATTACCATGTCCCGCAAGCCCTGTAGGGGGTTTTACCTGTCAGGTTCTATTGACACTGGTGGTAATTTTTGTATACAGGCCTACCTGTCCTACTGTTTTGTTCTGGTTTTGATGCAGCAGTATGAAGTGGTTGTTTTCTCACTCTTTTCTTTTTGGTGATAGCACTTCTTTTACTCTTTTCCACCTGTGTTTATTAGTCTCTCTGATTTATGGTAGTTCCCTTGGGGTTGTCTTCTACTCTGAAGATCCTTGACCATTCCCCTTTCGGTATCATGCTAGATAGTTCTCTATCTTTATCACTACTTCTTGGAGCCTTTCTTCCCTGATACCAAAGGTTGGAAGTTTAAGTCTTTTGATTTTTGTTATCCTCAAACCTGCTTGTCTTACCTGGTGAACCTGTTGTCCAATTGTCTGTTACTAAACTGTTTTCACACTTGCCATGATTACAATTTGTCACATGTTAATTATATTTGTATGCAGGTTCCAAGTCAGTGCATTGCTTTGCAGTGATTCTACTTTGTGTCAACCATGTCCTTTCCATTCAATCAACTCAGTACTGAGTCCATTCATGATCATAGAGATCACAAGAATATATTGTCCAAATTACATTTTTGTACTATTTGTACATATTGCAGGTATCTTGTCAGCTATAACTTAGTTTGGGCACATTTGAATATTGTTCGGCAGATTTATTTATAACCTACTTTGAATAATTTTTGTTTATATTCCTACTGTACTATCAGTTACTTAGCTGAGGCCTCAATATGGTGATGTTTTACCTTTTTTTTGTGTAATAGAAAAGCATTTAAATGACTTTAAAAAATATAACCTTTTAATCCATTGATTTTAATGCTTCTGTGTCCCCAAGTCTATTTTTTGATTGTACCATTTGGTATTTCTTCCAGCAGGTGATTACACAGATGCTTTCTGTATAAAATAGTTTATAAAGTTTGATGGTCATCATGTTATACTGTACTATATTGTCCTAGACACCTCTGGTGCTTCTTCAAGCCTTCTTTCCCTGACGCCTAGGGTAAGACATTTAAGGCTTGGACTTTTTGTTATCTTTGGACTGGTTGGTCTTAGCTAGTAGAATTTTTAAGACTGAGAGCGCTCCTAGTGTTTCCTTTTCTGACCATTCTTGTGGATGGTCTGTCTTTCTTGTTGGGGTGATTATATTGCTGTACCTGTGGGTGGTTGCTTTATCTCGCTGCTTCTACTGTTGTGGACTCAGAGTCCTTCAAGCTAATCATTCTCTTTGGCAGTTATTCTTACACTGGTTTGACCATTTGGTTGATCCTCTGTGACCTCTCCTGGGTTGATAGTGGTTCCCCTGACCTGTAGCAAAATTTACTTCTGATTCTTATCTGCACATTGGTCTTTTTGGCAGCAAGTTCTTGGTTCTTAGATCCATCTGTGGCTTTTTCCCACCCCCTCAATTGGACTGATTTTTAGTTCGTAATAGTTTGGTTCACAGTTTCATAGAAACCCAGTTCATGAATATTCATGCATATAAGCAAATAGGGAGCTTGATAATTAAAGTGTCAAAAAGAAGGTCTGTATTAGCAATTTATTAGTCTTGTCTTTGGATGTCCCAGTTGTTCTGAAATTCCTGAATCCCTGTATCAGTGGACAATAAAGAAAACCAGATTTTTGTACCTACTGTAAAATCTTTTTCTTGAAGTCCATTGAGGAACACAGGTCTTGCCCCTCTCTGTTCATAGACCTTTTGTACTGCTTGCTCACAAAACTAAGGCATAATGGTTAGAGGCAGAGTTATGCTTGGGAAGGCCTTCAATTTTTTTTCTCTTGTTTGTCAGTGTCAAAACCTCCTTTAGGTGGCAAGTATAACCCTGGCTGTTTCAGTATTCCTTATTTCTTGTGTTCCTCAATGGACATCAAGAGAAAGATTTTATAGTGAGTACAAGACATAGTAGATGTGATTCTGAAAAACAAGTAGTTTAGTTCAAAGTTTACACAGACCCAGTTCATAAATATTCATGCACTAAGCAAACAAGGAGCTTGATAATTAGTGTCCAAAAGAAGCAATGTCTTGCTCAGTTCTAGCACTTTCTCAATCTTATTTTTAGAGCAGATTAGAAAATGAGTGAGAATAAGTGTGGGTTGCAACAGACCTTTCAGTATGACACTTTCCATAAGGCACAAAACCTTCTGGATGTCCTAGATGTCTGTATTTTACTTGACATTTAAGTAAACCTTTAACAACAGTTTGTTGAAAATGTCCAGGTGATATTTGAGAAAAAGGTATAGAAAATTTCAGGAGCAGAGTATCTTATATGTTATTATTATGTTAAAGGTTTTGTGGCGAGGAGAAACAGAAGTTGCTGTTTCAGACATTTTGAATCAAGGATCTAGGTTGAAGGATAAGTTCACCTTTTAACAAAAAATAAAAAATGCACATTTTCTGTAGGTAAAAAAATGTGCATTTACCATTATTTGGTAAACAGAAAATAGTGCAGCACTGTGTATAGAAAAGTAATACAGAAATCTTATGAATAGAAAATGAATACAGACGATGGTGTGTTACCACATGTGAGTGGTTGAAGTCACTAAGTTCAAGTTGTATACTCTGAGTTCTATCGGATCAAAATTCAAGGACTGTAGTTTCTTCTGATTGATGGTATGAAGAAAACATAAAAATAAATGAATGAATTGTGCAATTCATTCATTTATTTTTATGTGTTTTTTCTTCATACCATCAATTAGAAGGAACTACAGTCCTTGAATTTTGATCCGATAGAACTCAGAGTATACAACCTGAACTTAGTGACTTCAACCACTCATATGTGGTAACACACCATCGTCTGTATTCATTTTCTATTCATAAGATTTCTGTATTACTTTTCTATACACAGCGCTGCACTATTCTCTGTTTACTATTTATTCCAAGGGTTCTGTGGTACCTTTAGGTGTCCAAGCTGCTGTCATTTTATTTTATATTAGCGCTCGCATACTCTACTGTTTGACCATTTACCATTATTTGTTTTGGGAGTCTGGAAAGCATTGCACCAGGGATCATCAGATCGCTGGTGTCATGCAGGACTCCTGCAGATCTGTCAGTGTATCTGTGTGCTTGTACCTTGTACAGGCAAGCAGATACACTGTGACAGAAAGAATCAATGAACTACTACAGCGCTCAACAGCACTATGGTAGTTCATTGAGAACCGCAAGCCGACAGCCGCAAAGGCTGTTGGAACTTGTAGTTTTCCCACTCACAGAATACAGTGAATGAGTGACGCATGGCAGGTGGAGCCCAGCACGACCAAGTTTTTTTAAAATTGTGACAGCTAGCTGGGGGAGAAGATCTCCACTGCTAGCTGTCAAACTGAGGGATTGGAGGGGAGCTGGGGCCGGTCCTTTCGTAACATGTTACATGTTATACCCTGAATATAGGTGTAACATGTTATGAAAGGTGAACTTATGCTTTAATAAATAACTGATGGTCTTGAAAATATAATAATTACATGCAAAGCTATTCTTTCAAGTTTCTAGGAATTGGTAATGCACAAAATTAGACATGTGCAATGTTTAAGAACATAACTTAATATGTGTATAATTCTTTTATTACCAGATAGCCATAGAAAGATTTAATGCACCTAACAGCAGAAAATTCATCTTCATGCTGAGTACCCGTGCCGGAGGCCTTGGAATAAATTTGGCAACTGCTGATGTGGTGATTTTATATGATTCAGACTGGAACCCTCAAGTCGATTTACAAGCAATGGTTAGAAAATACTTGCTTTTCTGGAATAACACAGTTATTATATTTTATTAAATAGCAATTTGTATTACTGTTTCAGGTTTGATAATAATGTTCAGCATCCAACATATGCAGGAATATTTGGACCATGATGCTCACAATGCTACATAATACAGTTACAGGGTCTTCAGATGACTAGTGTTGCCAGGTTACTCTGAATCAGTGAAAGGGTTAAAGTGGTACACAAAATGTATCTGCTGTATTGTAACTTGATTGCTGGGAAACAGATACATGAGAAAACGCTGTGATGCTCAATAAAGTATGTTCTGTCTGCGCTGTGAGTCTTTATATTAATCACCCCTCCCTGTGCCTTTGGAAACCACATGTTGTTTCTTCTCTTGTTACCTGCAGCAACCATTTAAACCTTGGGCAACAACACAGTTGTAGTTTGATTATCTGTTTCAATTTAAACCTATCTCATAAGCAGAATCGGGTTAAGTACCTACTAAAGAGAAACTCCAACAAGAGCCTGTGCAGAAAGCCCACTGATGTACAAAGTCCTTTTAACCATTTGAAAACACCTTCATTATAAGGTCATTTTTTCCGTTTTCAGTGATGTGACAGTTTGTCTGACAGTTGCTCGATAATGCAACACTGGACCCAAATTAATTTTTCGTCATTTTTTTAGAGACAGAGTTTCTTTTGGTGGTCTTCATAATCACTGTTTTTTTTTTTTGTTTACTATACAAAGGAAAAAAAAAATTCAAAACATTTTGAAAAAACAAAACAACGCTTTCTATCTTACTTTCCTTTATAAAACATATCAAATTAAAAAGCTAGAGCAGTATGACCCCTTTTTGGAAAGTAGACCCCCAAGGTAATATTTTTTGTCACAGTTTTATGGAAATTAAAAAAAAAACACGTCTGTACTGAGGTGATTAAAATACGCTTAGTAATAGTGCATTGTGTAAAGCATATCATAGGTCATACAAAAAGGAAGCAATAAGGGAAATGGTTGATGTCATACAGCGGCTGGATTAAGATGAGGGGGTCAATGCAGGTATGGGTTACAGGAATGGGAATTTTATATATTTTCCCCCCTCTCAGAATAATATAGAATACCCACGCATACTCCTCCCCATAACATGTCACTACACTTCACACATTGTGTTGCACGTTTACATGGATTGTGCAATGTCCTGCTACGAACCTTAAATTGCACCTGCATCATTTTTGGTAGCGTAGTGTACCACATTGCATCATATGTGCACTATTGTGTGTTGTGGAGGTGTGTTCAGGTACCATTCAAAATGAATGGCACCGAAGTACACCAACACATGTAATGCACATACCATGTGAATTACTGCAATGTAGTGAAGTGAACTGGTTGTTAATGAATTATAGATCAGGTTAAGCAAGAACAAGTTTCTGAAATGATTGAGCTTAGACCTCAACAGATGATGTTTCTAGTTTGGATAATATTCAGCTGGTGATTACAAAAATGAAGTAAGTATATAATCTACTCAAGTAAAATACAGTTGCTGTGGTGGCAGATGGGACCTGTAGTTTTTTGTTCACAGCTTTCTGTGAATGAATGAATTAGGAAGAGCCACACACATGCCATGCAAAATTCAAATTTGACAGGAGCCAGGACAGAAGAAGAACCCCTGTATTCTGTAAGTCAAAGGACTGTTTGAGGGTGGTGGGCTGTGGACTCTGAATATGTTTCATGTTACTCCCTATATATATGCGTGTAAGATGAAACATGGTATGAAAGATGGCACTAGCTTTTAGTTGCATTAATCATAGCCAGACTACAGTGTGGAATGAATGGAAACATGGAATATCAATAATGTTGCAAATTAAAAAAACAAGCAAACAACTGTGATATTTGGGGGAGTCCGGGTCACAGCCATCCATGTTGGTAAAAGCAAAACAGTCTTTATTCCTTCAAAACAGGCACAAAAATTAGCTTTCTTCAGCATAAACAAAACAAGCAGTCCATATATGTGTGGTAAAAGATACAGCTCACTGCCAGCATAAACCTTTTTTCATAATAAGGTTTAAAGTTCCTGCCTACTCCAGTGGTCCAATGGAAAGGTTGTTACACTCAGTAGCGTCTCACTAGCCCACAAAACTCAGCTCCTTCTCAAAAGCGTGTCCTGCTCCACCCCACACCTCATGGACACCTGCTGACTTCTTCCTGCCCCTTTCAGCCCTCTCTTGCAAGTGGATTAAACCTGTCAGGACCACAGTACCCCATAGTTGGTGTTGGAGGCTCTTTCCCACCCACAATCTCCCAGAGTCTCTGAATTCTAGGTCCCATATCAGGACTTAACAATCCTGTGAAAACTGTAAATCAAATTTCTTTCTCTTTACTGGATTACTCCGATACTCTTTACCCTGCATGGTTTAGGATTACTGAGTACCCCATAGTGCTTCTTTTCGTCCCCCTTAGAGGGACTACAATCAAATTAGGGGGGTACATAACCAAAATAAAGGGGGCACATACCTCTTATCTAGGAGCTATCCCTGGCATCCTGTACACAATTTATTTCTTCTGTGCTATTGTTTGCTACAGCTTTAAAGACAACAATTTAAATAAATTCATGGCTTATGAGCAGTTCATTTAATTTTAGTGTTTTTCTTTTTCGCTCTGTAATGCTGTATACATTTATTTGAAGCATGTATATTTCTAATGCTTATCTAATTCAGTGTTATATTTACAATAGGATCGAGCACATCGCATAGGTCAAACAAAAACTGTACGTGTATTCCGTCTTATTACTGACAATACAGTGGAAGAACGGATTGTGGAAAGAGCTGAGATGAAATTGAGACTGGACTCCATAGTCATACAACAAGGTATTGCATAATTAAAGATGAATTCCTAGTATTTTGTACATAGTTACATTGGTTCATGCTTGGACCAATGTAAGTATGCATTTACCATACCTGACCAATGCCCCTGGAAGCCTAAAATCACTGAAGTAGCCAACGCTACCCCACTTCCTTTTAGGTTCTAAGCCGAGTAGCTGCCCTTCTGCATTCTGAACACAGGAAGTTGACCATTCAGCACAGGTGCCATTCAAAGAATGCTTTTCCTTCGCTGAATAAATGCAAAACATTCTCTGAATGGACAAAGTGGAGAGCGTGACATCACCACCCTGTCCCTCCACTTTGTCAAATCAGTCAATCATTTGCATTCATTCCGGAAACGCATAGCATTCTCTGAATGGTGCCTGTGCCGAGTAGCCAACTTCCTGTTTTCAGAATGCAGCAGGGCAGGTACACGGCGCAGGACCTGGAAGCTAGTGGAGATCACTGGGACAGTGTCTACTTCAGTGATTGTCAGTTTTAAGGACATTGACCAGGTGTAGTATATGCATAGTTACATTAGTCCAAGCTGGACCAATTTAACCATGTAAAAAAAAAAATATCCATACGTGGAATTCATCTTTAAATGTTGAATTATGTCAGTTATCTTTTTTTTCTGGAGAATTATTTAACTTGGAACTTACACATGTAAGAAAACTCAAGTGGTAATTTACTAGATGTTTGCCATACCAATAGTTCTGTGTTTACGTCAGATAGCTGAAAAACTAAAAATGAGCCTTTCACCTCACTGGCTGATTATTTATGATTATTGTAATATTAATAATGCCATAAACACATCCCATGTAACACACAACACACGATAGCTTACCTCCTTTTTTTTATTTTCCTTCACTGCCTCTGTAATCTCACAAAACAAGGGATAGGCATAGGTCTGTGCTTCAGCTTGGTTAAACAGGTGTGTTTAAACAGGTGTAAGTCTGTTGACATCACAAATTACCGACCAAGCTGTTTATAGCAACATTTTAACACGGGTTGTATTTTTTACATGTTTCAGTTACTTTGCAAGGCTGAGTAAACAATGTCTGTTATACTGCTTGGTCTGTGTAAAGGCAAATGCATATGTGCAGGTCTGGTAAACATTTACTGAATCTCTGGAGTATTAATGGTTTTTGCACTCAGCCATACTGCAGTTTATGAAGAACTGGATGCTTAAAAGACAGTGATTTCCAAAAGACAAACCTTCATGCTTGGATACTGCTTTATTATAATAAATTAATTTTCTCAGTCCAGCAAGTTAATACAAAGTTTGGTAATGAAGCTCCAAAACTGGAGGTGTATTATTGGTACAACCAGAGATGTAGATCATCTGTATTGCTTGCTATTGGCATTGGTGAACCTGAGGAGCAATCTCTAGCATGCACAAGTTGAGACAATGAAGCTTTGCAACAGTGAATGCATTGGTTATGGCTGCAAAACAGTCTAATTATAACGGTATTAAGCCCAAAACCAATAATATAATATATTGCAGCTTATCAACCATTAAATGTGCTGGCTGCATTAGGATTCTTTTCAGAAATAATAGAAAAACCTTTTGCCCTGCTATAGGTATAGCTAGGACTATTGAAAAAAGCTGCAAACACCTAGACCTAGACACCACTAGCACAAGGAGACAAAACAAATAAAATGGTGTTGCGCTAATATCAATAGTACTAAGGACACAATAATTTGAAGAGTGGGGAGACAGAAAAAATAACCCCAAAACAGAGGTGATAAATATAAAGGCCTGAATCTAGACCTATTTAGGTGCAATATGAACTGTGACAAAGACAACGTGAGTAATAATCAGAAAGTGAACATAAATAATACATAAAAATGTAAAGGCCTGAACCCAGACCAAACTAAGTGCAATATAGATTATGATGAAATACAACGTAAACAATAGTCAACAAGTGAACATAAATAATGTATTCAACATAATAGGGCTAACACGTCCTAAATAAAAGTTCACAAAAAACACTGTGCAAAGAAAACTGTGCCAAAATCAAAAGGCAAAAAATATATGCAAAAACTATTTATACAAGGTACATGAAACTATAAATGCATGAAACTATAAATGCATCATAAATAATACATAAAAATGTAAAGACCTGAAACCAGACCAAACTAAGTGCAATATGGATTGTGATGAAAACAACGTGCACAATAATCAACAAGTGAACATAAATGATGTATTCAACATAATATGACTAACATGTCCTAAATAAAAGGGCACAAAAAGTGGCGTGCAAAAAAAACTATGACAAAATCAAAAAGCAAAAAAATATATCTGCAAAACTAATCATACAAGGTGCATGAAACTAAAAATGCACCTTATAATCAGGATTGATGCCAGTGAAAAATGCACAGTGGAAATAAACTTGCATCAATAAGCACATATAATAATTAAAGCAATGTGACATATAACAAATAATGAGTGACCATCAAAATAAACATAAGTAATCATCAAATCGGCATAAAGTCCATGTAAATAGACCGCCAACTCCAAATGAACAAAGCAACTGGGTGAAATGAATGATAGATCCGTCACCAGCTAAAATGCCTCCTCACCTCCCCGCCAAGACCCAAGGGGGCCACACAGCTTTCAGGCCTCACACTCCCAGGGCCCTTAATAGATATCCAAGATGATAGAATCACACCGACCACAGGAATATGGCCTTCCACACCGTATAACCGTAATGATTTCAGTAGTGTTGAAACTGGTAATCCTTTTCACAGGAACATCAGCCAGCTCAGACGCACCCCAGAGGAAAAAGAGAGAGCACTCCCATAGGGTAGTAATTTTAAAGCACATCACATCAGTTGAAATCAGGCCTCAAACACATGTATTGATATGGGTTTATACTTCCAGGGGTGTACCAAAATGGCGCCGACCATCACCATGCTAACGGACCCACGTGTTACGTCACTGTCCCGTGATAAAAGCTGATCATTGTAAGCCCCCTATCAGTGTTAAATGGTTTGTCTCAACACTCTTAACATTTACAGAATAGCTTGTTCTGTTGAAAAACAAAAAAGACTTACTTGCCAGATCACCAGGTGAAAATAAAAGGACAGCCTAAAAAATGAATGCAGCCACCACACCTATAAATTTGGTGAGCCTACAATATATTATAATAAATGTTTGCTTTTGGGTCTAATACCACTTTAAGCTTTAAGAGAGAACATTTCTGGAGGATAAGCATGAATGATATGGGAAAAAGACTGTCAGGTTGCTGTCAGCGATATGGCCTAAAAAACATCTGATCAACAGAAAGTGCATCAGCTAAACTCCAGGATAATCAAATATTATGCGAATATATTACAAGAGGCATGTGTATTCTTACAGTGTGCAAGAAAAAGTATGTGAACCCCTTTGGGATTACGTGGAGTTTTGCATGAATGTGGGCATAAAATGTGGCTCTGAACGTCATCTAAAGTCTCAACAATAGAAGAACATCGTCCTGCTGAACATAATACTACACAAACATTAGAATGTTGCCATGGTTTAATTGATCACATAACATGTGTAAAAATTCACAGCTCAGGTAGGAAAAAGAATGTGAAGCCCTAGCTTTATGACTTCTCCCAGAGCTAATTGGAGCAGGAGTGAGCCAACCCTTGACTCCAATCAGTGTGATGATATTGGATGTGAGTTGCTGACAGCTGTCCTGCCCATTAAAAAACACACACTGTTTTGGGTTTACTGGTTTCAAGAAGCACTGTCTGATGTGAACCATACCTCACAGAAAAGAGCTCTCAGAAGACCTACGATCAAGAAATTGTTGACTCTGCATGAAGCTGGAAAGGGTTACCAAAAGTATCTCCAAAAGCCTTGATGTTCATGTGTCCACGGGTTAAGACAGACTGTCTACAAATGGAGAAAGTTTAGCACTGTTGCTTACTCTCCCTAGGCGTGGTCATCCCTGTAAAAATGACTGCAAGAGCACAGCGCAGAACAGAATGCTGCATGAGGTAAAGAAGAATCCCAGAGTGTCCGCTAAAGACCTACAGAAATCTCTGGCACATGCTAACAGTTTTTGTTGACACATCTACAATAAGGAAAACATTAAACAAGAATGGGAGTACATGGGAGGACACCACAGAGGAAGCCATTGCTGTCTCCAAAAAGATTATTGCAGCACGTCTGAAGTTTGCAAAAGAGCAACCTGGATGTTCCACAGCACAACTGGCAAAATATACTGTGGACAGATGAAACCAAGATTGAGTTGTTTGGGAAGAACACACAACACTATGTGTGGAGAAAAAAAGGCACAGCACACCAACATCAAAACCTCATCCCCACTGTGAAAACATCGGTGGAGGGAGCATCATGGTTTGGGGCTGCTTTGCTGCCTCAGGGCCTGGACGGATTGTTGTCATTGATGGAAAATGAATTCCAGAGTTTATCAATGACATATTGCAGGAAAACGTAGGATCATCTGTCCGCCAACCTGAAGCTCCGCAAGAGGATGGGTGATGCAACAGTGACATAATGACCCAAAGCATACAAGTAATTCAACTAAACAATGGCTGCATCAGGCACAGAATTGACGCCGTCTGGAGGGCCCAGTCAGAGTCCTGACCTCAACCCGAATTGAAATGCTGCGGTATGACCTTAAGAGAGCGATTCACACCAGACATCCCAATGCATATTGCTACACTGAAACAGTTTTGTGAAGAGGAGTGGTCCAAAATTACTCCAGATCTTGTGCAGGGCTGA